AGAGAGAGAGAGAGAGAGAGAGAGAGAGAGAGACTCTAGTTGAACAGCGAGTCAATTCGCAGTTATCGAGGTCAATGTCAGGTCGTGATCTGTTTGGTGACTGACGTCGGTTTGGTGACTGACCACCTTTAAGAAGTGGTAGACCACCTTCAAGAAGTGTCAACCTTCACGAAGTGCCAAACAGTCGGCGGTCAGAGGACTCCAGTGCCAAAAGCATTCTTAAGGGACCTTGCGGTTGTGTTCAGAACATACTGGCGTAGCACTAGATGCTCACCAAGCAGTTCTGGATGTCGGTTATATCGACACATCATAAGATGCCTTACAAGCAAGCAGCGGCTGCTTGCAGGACCTTCTACCGGTATGGATCTTTGAGAGCAGAGTTTCGCACTCCACCGTAAGATCCACGTCGGATAGGTGGACCTGCCATTGTACCGCTGTTAGCTGTAGTCATCTTGAGGGAGTCGATGAGGTGAGGACCCGACAAAGAAAACTCTCAGTGGACTTTGCTGCCGTGTTTTTGGAACTTGTTGCGTAGCACTAGATGCTTACCAAGGAGTTCTGGATGTCGGTTCTATCAACAAATCATAAGATGTCTAACAAGCAAGCAGCGGCTGCTTGCAGGACCCTCTACCCGGTGTGGATCTTTGAGAGCAGAGTTTCACACTCCGCCGTGAGATCCACATCGGATAGGTGGACCTGCCATCCTACCGCTGTCAGTTGTAGTCTTCTTGAGGGAGTCGACGAGGTGAGGACCCGACAAAGAACACTGTCAGGGGACTTTGGTGCCGTGTTTGGAACATATTGGTGTAGCACTAGATGCTCACTAAGCATTTCTGGATGTCTGTCATATCGACACATCATAAGATGCCTTACAAGCAAGCACTGGCTGCTTGAAGGACCTTCTACCCGATGTGGATCTTTGAGAGCAGAGTTTCGCACTCCACCGTGAGATCCACATCGGGTAGGTGGACCTGCCATCCTACCGCTGTTGGTTGTCGTCATCTTGAGAGTTGATGTGGTGAGGACCAGGCAAAGAACACTCTTAGGGGACTTTGTTGCGGTGTTTGGAACTTATTGGCGTAGCACTAGGTGCTCACCAAGCAGTTCTTGATGTCGGTTATATCGACACATCATAAGATGCCTTACAAGCAAGCAGCGGCTGCTTGTAGGACCTTCTACCCGGTGTGGATCTTTGAGAGCAGAGTTTTGCAATCCACCGTGAGATCCTACCGCTATTGGTTGTAGTCATCTTGAGAGTCGATGAGGTGAGGACCTGACGATGTTCCAATTGGGACGTGCTCTTGTTTCGTGATGTGCAGGTGCTTACAGGCGGTGCGTTCGATCCCCTCCTCGATGTGAAGCAAAGTGCGAGGGAATTGCTCAGGGCTCACACCAGAAGTGCGATTGAACTCGCACTTTGATGGAGAAGCAGATGCGCAGTCCATCAACGCGACGATTTAATATGGATATTGGTTTGTCATTTCTAATTCACAGGTTGAAAACGCCATCAAATCTTTCTATGTAGAAGATTCATATCCATTCATACAAGTATCTCTTGTCATCGCAAACATCGAGATGAAAACATCTCAAGTCAAATTGCAAAGCACACAGAGACATCGCAAACATCGAGGTGAAAACATCTCAAGTTGCGCACTGTTTTTCCAAAGGTGAAGTCTCAGAGCAGACGATCAGTTTCCAGAAACCATTCTATGCAGAAATTTCATTCAAGGGCAAATTGCAAAGCACAGAGACTTTCCAAATTGAACGCAAAATATCACACAATGCCACATTGCAAAGTGCACGGAGACTTTCCAAAAATCACTAAGTACATGGAGCCAAAGTGCGAATATGTTCTCATTTCCCATATGGAACCAACAGTTCAATCACAAATGCACGACATCCAAAGTGCGAATATGTTCGGATTTCTCATACGGAAACAACAGCCAGCATCCAGTGGAAAGCACGAGATGTATTCCGGGGATAACAAAATTGACAATCATTTAGTGCACCGCCGAATCCGTTAAACAACTTCAAGCACAAGTCAAATTGCAAGCACACAGAGACATCGCAAACATCGAGGTAAAAACATCTCAAGTTGCCTAGTGTTTTTCCAAAGGTGAAGTCTTACGGCACACGAATAGGTACCAGAAACCATTCAATGCAGAAAATTCATTCGAGGGCAAATTGCAAAGCACACAGAGACGTTTCAAAAAGTCATTGAACGCGAAATATCATACAATCCCACATTGCAAAGTGCACGGAGGCTTTCCAAATATCACAAAGTACATGGAGTCAAAGTGCGAATATGTTCTCATTTCTCACATGGAACCAAGAGTTCAATCACAAATGTACGGCATCCGAAGTGCGAATATGTTCGCATTTCTCATACAGAAACAACAGCCAGCATTCCGTGGAGAGCACGAGATGTATTCCGGGGATAATAAAATTGGTGATCACTCAGTGCACCGCTGAATCCGTAAAACAACTTCAAGCACACATACATTCTGGCGACAATTGGTTTCCGAATGGAGAACAAGTTCGCAACTGTCATAAGGAACCAATAGACAGTATTCAATCGAGACAAGCAGAGGGGGTGAACTGTAAAACGGGGCGGCACACGCAGAACAAGGACGAGCCAAAACATATGAAAGATGGGTGGTCGGGGTGGGGCGGGGGAGAGGGGCTTTCACACCACAAAGTCTCGCGAACGAAAGAGATAAGCATGAAACAATTTGGCGACCAAGAATAAATCGTCGATATCTTTCACATAAGTAAAAGAGGAGCACAACCTCGAAACGAACAAACGCAGCACGGTGTTGCCGCGGTCTGAGAGGACATAAGGAGATTAACCCGAAAATAAATAAAAGGAGCACAAAGTTGGGATATTCAC